TAACATTGTGGAGAGATGAGTTGGTGTAATTTCGACATTATTTGTATTTTGAAAATCCGGACGTTGTATCCATTTATTAAATCGAATGGTCGTTGTGACTTTAGTAAAAATGCTATTCAGTGGCATTAGGGTGGAATTGAGTGAAAAATGAGGCTTACGACGTGAACACGCTTTGAGTGAGAGACGTGTCACAGGTGTGGTGAAAAGGCGTCTGTGGCCTGAAGTGAAAAAGTTTTGTGGGTGACCTGTGACACGAATCGAAAAAAAAAATTGTGAATGAAAAGGTGTCACGCGAAATCCTTGTTTGTACAAAATTTTACCTGTTCTCCCTATGAACAACAAATTTATTAAAGTCATATATCGAAATTTCTATTGTTAGTGTATATGGTATCTTTTAAGGTGGACATTTTTTTAGTGTTTTGGGTAGACGAGATGATTGTTATTAACGACGGTGTATACGTTTGTTGGTGATTGTCGTCTTTTGGCGCGAGTGTCGTGCTTGTTGGGCGGGTTGTGCGTGTTTGCTAGCGTGAAAACCGTCCTTTGGATGGATGTTGTCGGTGTATTGTTGTCGCGAATGTCGTGATTGTTGTTAAATACGTTTGTGGGGTTGTTGTGAGGTACACTTTTATGTTGTGTCGATGTGTGGTCATGCATGGATTTTGTGGTAAGTGTGTGAGCTGTGTCGGTGTACGGACACTTTTTTGGGCATTATTGGAATTGTAGGTTGGAGTTGTGGTGGCTTTATATGTTGTGGGCATATAGTACTGGTAATTGGGTTGAGTGATAAACATGGTGGTGGGGTCAATGAATGCAGGTAAGGGTTGTCCTGTGTGACAAATTTGATTGCAGTGCAAGTCCTTTCGGACAGGTTTGGTCTAGTCCGTGCGTGCATTCATTGAGTACAAAGGTTAGATATGGTTAAAAGGGGTAGGTAGCTAGGTAAAAGTTCAAAGTCAATTCCTTGACGTCATAGGATGGGTGCCTACCTCAGTTCAACAGGTCTCCTTTGTGACGTCTTGGTTTGGAGTGGTTGGCTTGGCTCGGGACTGCTCGCACCGTCCGCGAAATTGAAGTGAAGTCCGGTACTGGAAGATCATTTTGGGATCGTTTGGGTTGTCCCGGATCGCGCGGATTGGTTTCGGGGGCTGTGTACGGCATGGCGGTGGATGATTTCTCGGTGGTCGGTGTCCGGCCTTGGTGAGACTCGCCTGGGGTTGGCGGGGGTGGTGTCCGTCGTCCTCCCTGGGGAATGACGCTCCGGAATTCCGTCTCACTTTGTGGGGCGTTGACACGTCGGAGGGCCACGGTCATTTGCCATATAATGGCCGCTAGAAGGCGCCTGGTCGCCTCTCTTCTTGCCCGCTTCTTTTCCGCTGGTCTTGTCATTGCCGTTTGATTTGCTGGTGTCTGGGCTAATTTCCATTTTGATCCTGATTAAGCTCCATAATCTTTATCCTGTCGACTTTGTGTAATATGATGCAATAGTTGTTATATCACTGTAATATTTGATGTATTACACTTTTGTAGAATCTGTCGACTTAACCGTTCTGTGACAATATCGTTGCGGAATTGCTTGTTGTTCGATTTGAATGGTGAGGGTTGGTTGAAGCGCAGTCGTTGAGTGGAAGTTGAAGCACACAGTTAGGAATAATCAGGACACATGGTGAGGTTTGAAAATAAAAGGCAACTGGATTGGAGGGAAGAAAGCTTGAGAAGGCGGAGCGATTTTGATTGTTAATTAACTGATCACATGGTGGTGATTGTACTTAGCTATGAGCTGAGTGGGGAGAGGTCCAGGGCCGATGTCACCTCGTTGGAAGCGAAGGAGCAACTCCTGATCCGAACTCGGTGAGAGCCAAGTCGCTACTGCAGGTGTTGTTCCTATGAGAGCTAAAACACTACTGACAATTCTTGTCTTTCGATTTAACACCAAGCCTCAGTGTCTCTCTCATTGGTCGAGAGATGTCACATGATCTTGTCCTATTGGTTGGCCTACTTAAGGTGCGGTCTTATGATTGGTCGAGAGATGTCACATGCTCTTTTTCTATTGGTTGACCTACTTAAGGTGCTATCTTCTGATAGGCCGGCGGCTTCCCTTGATGAAAGCTGTGCCCTGCCTGGTATATCTGATTTCGTCAGGAAGTGTTTGGTGTCTTGACGCTTATAGTTTCGAAGGATATTAGACACGTCCTGTTTTTGCCGGAAGTACTGGATGTCTCTCAAACTTTTATAACTTTTGGTCACTCGACACGTCCTGTTTGTCAGGAAGTATTGAGTGAATCTTGGCTAAAATAATTTCTGCGGTCACTAGAGACGCCCGGTCTCTGCCCCTGCAGTATTGACACAGGGGTGCCCAGAATAGTCGTGCCAATCTTAGATCTACTTCCTATATCTTTTGTTACTTTCTTTCCTCCAGTTACCTTGTTCTTTATTAAGTCTTTGAGAATCATACATGGTACATACATAGTGGGTCGGGGTTGCATTTAATTATATACAAATTATGACATATATATATCTTGATTGGTTATTGGAGCGAGAGAGGACCTAGACGGCGGACCGTGACCTACGAGGAAGACAACGAATAAATAAACGTAATAAAGGTAATTTATTTTTATTTACTTTTATTTACTACTTTTCTTTATTTTCTACTAGCGGACGTACCCGGCTTCGCCTGGGTTTTTTTTACCCGAGTAAAGGTTTGTCTAACGAATCTCTCGATAAAGTGAACATTTTTTCCCGGTCCCTTGAAAAATACTCGATAAGTTGAATAAAATCAATATTAATTGGTTACCTCGGTAATTGGAAGTTAAAGGAATAGTATCTTGCCTTGGATTTGTATCATTATTCTTGTCTCAAATGAATTGCCGTGTCATCCTGAATTTTGTCTTTCCTAATTTTCTACATTACAAAATCATCGTATCATCATGATAATATTTAGAGCAGATTGTTGAATTATAACAGATAAATTAGAATATTTATCTTGATTATTTCAAAGCGAAAGGTTATTTCAAAAATTTTATTTGCTAGAAACCTTCCCAGTACTATACTAAATAACTTCCCAAAGTTTCGAGGCGTTCCAATGAGTGATTTGGTCAGGCATAGAGGACAGACAGACACACACACACACATACATTCATTTTTATATATACAGATGAGTATGGAAACCCGCATGGGAAACGTGTATAACACCAAGAAGGAGGAAGCCAAGGTCGACGATCCTATAAAGCTGCAACTTGGTGCAAAAATATGTTATTTTAAAAGTGAAATGTTTGTTAATGGAATAGACATTTTACCTCAACTCATTTTATTGCCGCCTTTTGTTTACAAGCCATTTGTTTATATCTATATTTACATATCGTTTTTATTGAGTTTTTACTAATTTTGCATGTACATCATTGACTTTTAATGAATGAGAAACAGAAATTGAAAATAAACATATCAAAAATTAAAGTAACACCTTAAAGGAATTTATGTACAATTGAAAATTGTTTTTTTGTAACGTCTCAATATTTTTAATTAAAAAGGCATATTTACCATTATTTCAATTGACTGAACGTCAACCTTTTTCAAGGTATTATAATGATTAATATGTTATAATACCTTGAAAAAGTTTGGCATTCATTCAACTGAAATATTGGTAAAATAATTGAATTGTCAGATATATTGATCTTTTATTCTTTCTCTTTTCCTTGCACCTTTCATGAGCCAGTAGAAGACAAACCAGTTAAAGTAAGAATGATATCTAAGTCACTACAACTTCATAGTAAGAGAGAGAGAGTCTGTAGAGAGAGAGATTTAATATATAAAAAAATGATTTTTTTTTTTCATAAATATATTCAAGTGTTGTTGTTTTATGATCACAAGCCGCAGTGTATTATATTGTATTATTAGTTACTTTATGTATTATTTATAAACGGAAAAATACGTCCAAGGTAGCCTAGTGGACATGGCATCTGCCCGGTAAGTGAAACATTGTGGGTTCGATTCCCATCCCTGGACACTTTTATTTTTCCGTTCATCATTACTCTTTAAAATTCACCCTTTCATACCTCATCCAAAAAGGTTAGAAAACGTCAATATTTCACCTTGAAATAAATTTTGATTTTTCATTGAAAAGAAACTCATGCGGTGTAACTTCAAGTGTTGTTTTACAATCACCAGCCGCAGTGTATTATAATATATTATATCATAAATACCATATATGTATTATATCATGTTACTAGCGGATGTGTTCCCGGCTTCGCCCGGGTTTTATCCGAGTGAAAGTTTGCCTAACGAATATTATTGATAATAATATTCGGGAACACACAGAATATTATGATAATAATGATTATATTCGTTACGTCATATATTTATATAATATATGAAATTTATTTTTCAAGCAACCATATCCACTCTCTCTATTGAATAGATTTTTGAAAAGATATACATAAATAAAAAATATCTAGAGATATACTACATGATCTTAGCCAAAAGGCCGAGAAACGATATTTTATATATAGAGATGACCTGGCTTCGTGTATCTTCTGCTCGAATGAATGTTTCGCTGGAAGAATTTTGTTCCTGCCTACCATTAATCATTATCTGGCTTCGCCCGTGGTCTGCTTTAGTGAATATTCCCCAAAAGAATTTTTAATGCAATCAAGCATGATACGGCAATATTGTCATCATCATTTCTGACTAAAAAAAATTGTTGCTCAGTACTTGGTGAAATATATTTTTTCTTGGTTAAAGTGCGACAAAAAAAACTCTTCCAGATTTAACTCTCTATCCTGTTCAAATTTCAGCCAGATTAGTTACATATTGAAGGCGTGCACAGCCGACAAACATATATGTATATTTATATATATACGAAAATTGCAATTATACCGCGAATGTTTCTTTTAAACAAAAATCGAAATTTATTTTAAAGAGAAATAACGACTATTTCTAACTTTAAGGATGAAGTAAGAAAGGGTGAAAATATGAAGAGTAATGGCGAACGGAAAAATAAAAGTGTCCAGGGGCGGGAAACGAACCCACGACCTTCCGCTTACCGGACAGATGCCATGTCCACTAGGCTACCCTGGACATATCCCTCCGTTCATAAATATTATATAAAGTAATTTAAAATACAATATAACGCGGCTGATGATTGTAAAACGAAAATTGCAATTATACCGCGAATGTTTCTTTTAAACAAAAAATCGAAATTTATTTTAAAGAGAAATAACGACTATTTCTAACTTTAAGGATGAAGTATGAAAGGGTGAAAAATTATTTTTCCGTTCGCCATTACTCTTCATATTTTCACCCTTTCATACTTCATCCTTAAAGTTAGAAATAGTCGTTATTTCTCTTTAAAATAAATTTCGATTTTTGTTTAAAAGAAACATTCGCGGTATAATTGCAATTTTCGTTTTACAATCAACAGCCGCGTTATATTGTATTTTATATATATATGTTCCCAGCTTCGCCCGATTTTTACCCGAGTAAAGGTTTTCTTAACAAACATTTGTTAAAACGATTCTAGCAAACATCCAATCCCTACTGAATCTATACTTGTCTACACTCTCGATAATTTTTTACCGGTCCCTTGAAAAATACTCGATAAGTTGAAAAAATCAGTATTAATTGGTCCACTCGGTAAAGTTGAAGGAATAGTATCTTGCCACAAACGAACATTTGTAAATAACTGTATTTAGCGAATGTACCCGGCTTCGCACAGTATTTATCCGAGTAAAAGTTTGCCTAACGAAAATTTGTTAAAACGATTCTAGAAAACATCCAATTCACCTATATATAAATTTATAAACGTATATAAATATTGTAACATAGTATTTCTTAATTTTATTATTTTTTATTTAACAGAGTGGTCATTTTTATGTTTTATATCTTGCCACTCTGTAAATTTCCCTCGTGGCTTATCTTTTGTTTACCTTTCATAGTTTGTCCTTCCCTGAAATAAATTGTTGTTTCCTCCTGAAGTTTTTGTCTTCCCTAATTTTCCACGTGGCATTTTGGTGGAGATGCCGGGGAAGTTAGGGAAGACAAACTGAAGATCGCCGAGAAGACCTTGAAGCCATGGGTGCTGTGATTTACATTTTCGGAGACTGACATCAGGATTCCACCGCCGTGCTAAAGCCAAGACTTCCCTCGAAGATGACGATGTCCCTATAACGATACGACGACAAAGCCGCTCTTCACGCCGCAAGAAAATGGACGCAAAGGTACTAGGGACAAAGTTCCAAGACTTCGATGGAATCCTTGGTAGAAGCACGTCAAATCCACGTCAGTATCTACAATAATTACTAGCTGTGGGTCACAGCTCCCATAGGGAAGAAGCTATGTAACATAGTATTTATTAATTTTATTTATGTAACATAGTATTTCTTAATTTTATTATTTTTTATTTAACAGAGTGGTCATTTTTATGTTTTATATCTTGCCACTCTGTAAATTTCCCTCGTGGCTTATCTTTTGTTTACCTTTCATAGTTTGTCCTTCCCTGAAATAAATTGTTGTTTCCTCCTGAAGTTTTTGTCTTCCCTAATTTTCCACGTGGCAATATAAATATTGTTATATGCGTTTAAATATATTTTTGAAACACATAATTTTTTGAAAACATTTATTATATTTTAAATAAGATATTTTCACTTTTGTGAATTTGATAATTAATTATTTCTTTTTTTCTCAATGAATTATATATATTAATTTAAAATTTCATTTTTGTTATCATCATCACGTACAATGTAATTTTTTATATAAACAAACGATAATAAATGACAACAATTAGGGGCTCAAAAATTATTTATTATGGTTAGCAGCTCCGTAAATAAAGCTATTTTCACAACAACAATTAAAGTTGCATCATCATTTTTATAAAACAACAGCAAATCAAATTGACAATGTAAAATATATATTTTAACATTACATTTTAAAATTTAACACAAAAACGTTACAATTCTTTCTTTAAATATATATTAATATTGAAATGCCAAGTATTTTTTACGTCATTGGAATATTATATTACTAAATTCTCAAATTAAATTTATTATACTTGGAAAACATTTTAAGCATTGTTACAATTTATAAATATAATTTCACCAGACCCCGCTAGAGGCGCTGCTTGCGAGTGAAAGTAGAAAATTTGCATATAAAATTGCAAAGAATATTTATTTTAAATCAAATTCAGACCAGAAATCTTCCCTGTAGTATAGTAAATAACTTCCTAAAGTGTCACGGCGATTGGATAATCTTACCTTTTAAAAACATTCATCGTGTGAACAAACTAACATTTGTAGCGGCTCCCAAATATTAACTTTTCCTATTTTCATTATAAGTTTTAATATTTGAATTGAATAGTTATTAGACAAATTGAAACTTATAATGAAAATAGGAAATGTTAATATTTGGGAGCCGCTACACATTCATCGTGTAAACAAACCACGTGTTAATTATTAACCAATCAAATTCATTTATCGTCGCGACCAGTGCTGCACCCAATCGGTAAAAGGCTGAAACTAACGCTTTTTGTTTTTTTTTATTTTTTTCAAAAGCACATTAACCTTTTTAGTTTTTTGAATAGCCTATATGTTAAACGAAATATTCAGCTACCTACATGCGAAATTTCATAAAGATTTATTCTGTAGATTTTGCGCAACGCGATAACAAACATCGATTTTTGATTTCATTTTTATAGATATAAGGATTATCCATTATTTATAATCGCTAACTATATTCAACCTTCATATTGTTACGAGAAGAGCACTTGCAACCTCCGCCAATAGATGGCGCTTTCGCCTGTTTTGCATCTGAAACTGATGCAGGAGTCGCAGGCTCATGTGGCCCTGTTTCCTGAGGAGGGTAATTGTAAATACACTTTTATATTGGCCCTGGGAGGTGACGTAATGTAAATACCGGTTGTTCGTTATCCCATTTAAATGTAACGTTTAATAGTAAAAGACAATAAAGGTCAGTTCTTAAAGTCTCCGTGCCGCCTTCTGTCGTTACTCTCGTCATTGCCATCATCGCCAGGCTGCTGCTCTCTTCTGGTAAGTCTCTCGTGTCCCCCCACCAGTGGTAAGGCCGAGAGATACTGCCAGAGGAATGGAGTTCCACTGGAGAGGTGGATCTCAGGACGTCTTTGGGTGGCCTGCAGGGAAGAGCAACGGGAGCCTGAGTAGGTGATCCACGAAAGAGGGAGCGGCGTTGTCGCAGAGAACCGGTAGGGTCAAGCCGCGACAATATAAAATGGAAGGATTTAAAAGCACGAATGTTTCTTTTATATATAATACAAACTGTATTATGTATAAAAAAAAAACATTCGTGCTTTTAAATCCTTCCATTTTATTTGAAGGTGTGTATATCATTTAGGTAGATGTTGAGAGAATATAGCTTAGGATTGACCCTTTAGGTAGAGCGTGGTAGATACGAGTACATTTTGGTGAATTCTTGTTGAAATTACCCTGTGTGATGCGTTTGAATAAAAGGTTGCTAATCAAAACTTTGTTTTTAGTTTTTAATTAATATTACGAAGCCTATTTGACAATTTGTTTTTGAAGTATTGGTTTGGAAACTCTGGTTTTGACATTAATATATCATTGCATATATATGTCTAAATTTTAATCATTTTATTGCAGCTAGATATATTTCATTAAATTTTTAAATACTAAAATATTAAAACTGATATGGATAACATTTTAGATAGTCAATGCAATTTTTATTTTACAAATATTATTCATTAAGGTGTGATTTAAACATGAAATTTGTACTAATGAAATTTCATCTGAAAAAGTTATATAATTAATATATATATATATATATATATATGTCGTAAACCCGGGTAAGCCAACAAGTGAGTTGGAATAGTCGGGGTTGAGTGGCAAGGTGTGCAGAGTGGGAAGTCCGCACGGGACAGTAAGGACAAAGTTTGGGATCAAAAGACGCTCTCCTAGTACGTGTCACGTGGCACCAGGACCAGGAGAAAATTGAGGATTAACTCGGGAAAGCTCGGCGTCCTGCATGAAGACGCGGAGGCAGGGAGGAACCAAAACGGCGGCCACGAGGGACGCCGTGAGACCTAGCACTGAGCGGGCCTCTCCGAAAATATCCATTGTAACATAACTAACTGCCAACATCCAGACCAACGCCCCTTCTTTGTCCCTCTCTGGATTCCCCGGGTTTCCAGTGGCAAGCTGGTGTCACTTCGAGACGACTAGAAAAGATGTCATGCTTTATTACTTACATATCACATTGTTTAAATTACGATAGAATGTGAGAAAGTTTGATTAGGGGAGTGAAATAAAATGGAGCGAAAAGCTGGCAAACCTATTAAATGGGAAATAATTTGGGGCACAAATTAGTTACTGGAATAAAAATAACGATAATAAGGAAAGTAGTGATTAAACACTGATATAATATTATAAAACTACAAAAAATATATAAGGAGTACATAGGAAGGATAAATTTAAAGTAATCACACACAATAGCGAGGGTAAATATTTGGGAAAGTTAGGTATACTATTTACAGTTTTTTGTTACTTAAGGTGTCATGAGTATTTACAACATAGTTTCAGGGATGTAATACAGGAACGAGGAGAAGTAGAGATAATAAAAGTAATATAAAATATAAAAGAAAATTGACTTAAGCAAAAGGTTTGGGATAGGCAGTGACGCAGAAAAGAATAAAGGAAGAGGGTCTGAATTGGTTTCTGCAAAGGACATCTCAGGAGTCCTGCCCTGCAATACGAGCTTAGAAGTGTTGTTCTCAGGGTTCAGCGATCTCAAGATTCCCTGTGAGTAGCATTAGATCAGATGGGCAAAAGGCGTGAAGATGGAAGGAGAGGTAGGTAATGGGAGAATATGGGAAAGAAAAGCTTGCTGAGAGAGGTTAAAAAGAGATAGAGGTTCAAGAGCTGCGCTGCTGTCAGTGATTGAGCTCGACCAGTTAAAAAATAAAATTAAAAGAAAATTAGTGGGAGCATCATGCTGATGATGGCGATGGGTCGAACGTGGGAGAAAAAAAATCTCGCTGGTTACCCAAGCTCTCCGTGAGGAGTTAACATGGGGAAGAAGAGTGTACCAGGTCG